GGAGGAAGGAAGTCCCGGCCCAGCTGCGCTCGCCGCCTCCCCGCGCGCCCAGCTCGAGCAGCCGAGCAGCAGGCTCAGCCGCGGCGCCCCACCTCCGTCCAGGGCAGACGAGTGCGCGGCCGCGCCTGGAGTTGGCTTTCGCGTGGAGACGCGCGGGCGGAGGAGGCCGCCGCACGGTGCGCGCTGCGACGGCCCGGGCTCCTGGGCGGACTGAAACCTGAAACCTCAACCGCGGAGCCGAGGACCTGGGCCGGCTGTGAGCCTTCCGGGCTCTCGCAGGCAGCGAGCGTCCTTACCCGTTCTTGCAAGTTCGGGAGAGTGTGGGTCTGGTCGTGCTTTAAGCGAACCAGAACGCATTTGTAAGGTGATGGTCCTGTCTGCCCTGCACTGTTGTAATCATAATAGGCAACAAAGACGATCTATGACGGAGCGTGTCCTAAGACAGTGCTAACCAAGACTTCAGTCATATCGAGTCAATACTCCATTAATGGGGAGGTAGCATGGGGCGGTGGAAAGGGTTCTGGAGACCCGGATTTCCTGGGCTCAGGGTCCCCTGCTGTTGATCCTACTCCCTGCCCCATTCTCTTTTAGACATGACCAAATATATCGTTTTGTAAGTTACACATGTGGGGCGCCTGGGTGGCTCAGTCGGTTAAGGGTCTGCCTTCTGCTTGGGCATGCTCTCCGGGTCCTGGAATCGAGCCGGGCATCAGGCGCCCTGCTCAGCGGGGAGCCGGCTTCTCCCTCTCCCTCGGGCCCTCTCCCTCTGCTTGTGCGCGCTCTCTCTCTCTCAAGTAAATAAATAAATAAATAAATAAATAAATAAATAAATAAATAAATAAATAAATAAAATCTTTTAAAAAAATAAGTCACACATTTAATAAGATTTCTTTAGTGCCAACTGCATGCCAGTGATGGGAACACAGTTCCTGACAAGGAGACAAAATCCCAGTTCTCACAGAGCTTACTTTAAAAAAACAAAACCAAAAACATTTATTTTGAGATAATTACAGATTCACATGCTTATCATTTATACATAACACATAGTAATATATGATCCACGCTATACATCATGCAATAATACATGTAATACATAACAATCCCATAAACTTTACCCAGTTTCCCCCAGACTTTACTTTTTTTTTTTTTTAAGATTTTTTTATTGGGCGCCTGGGTGGCTCAGATGGTTAAGCATCTGCCTTTAGCTCAGGTCATGATCTCAGGGTCCTGGGATCGAGTTCCGCATTGGGCTCCCTGCTCCTTGGGAGCCTGTTTCTCCCTCTGCCTTTCTCTCTCGCTCTGTCTCTCATGAATAAAAAAAAAAATCTTTAAAGATTTTTTTATTTATTTGAGAGAGAGAATGAGAGAGAGAGAGCACATGAGAGGGGGGAGGGTCAGAGGGAGAAGCAGGCTCCCTGCTGAGCAGGGAGTCCGACGTGGGACTCGATCCCGGGACTCCAGGATCATGACCTGAGCCGAAGGCAGTCGCTTAACCAACTGAGCCACCCAGGCGCCCCCAGACTTTACTTTTAATGAGAAGATGTAAGTAACCAACAGATAAATAAATGAACAAAATCATTTCAGATGATAAGAGCCATGAAGAAGGTAAAACAGGGACTGAGGATGGGAGTGGGGAGGATAAGAAGGTCAGAGAAGACTTTTTGGATAAGGCAACGTTTGAGTAGTCATGAATAATGAAAAGGAGTCAGCCATTCAAAGATGTAGGAAAAAGCTTGCCAAGCACTGGGACCAGTGAATGAGCAAGGAACAAAGAACAGAAAGAAGCCATGTGGAGACAGAGCACGGGGGAGCAGCAGGGCAGAACGGGATCCCTTAAGATAGGAGAAGGGCCTGATCATATTCAATCTCATAGGCCAGGACCAAGAGTTTGGATTTTATTTCAAAACCATGATTTCATTTACTATGACTGTTTTCTGGTTTCAAAAAGCTAAGAACCAAATAAGAATGGATGCAGAGAAACCGATTGGAGGAGACTGAGTTAGCCCAAGTGAGGATGGTAATGGCTCAAACCAGGGAGTTATCTGGGTTTGGGATACATTTATGAGATTTGGGATACATTTATGAGAACGACCCAAAGGGACTGGCAAATGAATGGGATATAGAGGTGAAGGAAAAATAGCCATCCCTATCTTTAAAGATTTTATTTATTTGAGAGAGAGGGAGAGTGCATGCTTGAGTGGGGGCGGATGGGGGAACAGAAGGGGAGGGATAGGGACAAGCCAACTCCTCGCTCAGTGCAGAGTCCAACAGAGGGCTCTATCTCACCACCCTGAGATCATGACCTGAGCCGAAAGCAAGAGTTGGACGCCTGACCGACTGAGCCCCCCAGGTGTCCCTGTTTTTCTTTTAAAGATAGGGATAATGGGGCACCTGGGGGGGGGCTCAGTCGGTCAGGCATCCAACTCTTGCTTTCGGCTCAGGTCATGATCTCAGGGTCATGAGATGGAGCCCCACATTGGGCTCCATGCTGGGTGTGGAGCCTGCTTAAGATTCTCTTTCCCTCTGCCCCTCTCCCACACTCATGTGTACACACGCTGACATGAGATCTCTTTCCCTATAAAATAAATAAAATCTTAAAAAAAAAGAAAAAGAAACCCCTCCCTTGATTCCACATGTCCCTCAGCTCCTGCCCTACATCCTCTTGAAGGCCAAATTTCTTGACCTGCTTCTCCACCAGCTGTCTCCATTTTTTTTTTTTAAGATTTTATTTATTTATTTGACAGAGAGAGACACAGCGAGAGAAGGAACACAAGCAGGGGGAGTGGGAGAGGGAGAAGCAGGCTTCCCATGGAGCAGGGAGCCTGATGCGGAGCTTGATCCCAGGACCCTGGGATCATGACCTGAGCCGAAGGCAGATGCTTAAAGACTGAGCCACCCAGGTGCCCCTACATCTCCATTTCTTAATTATCCTCTCTTTAGCCAGTTCAGCCTGGGGTCTGAACCGACCGCTTCACTTCCATCTGTCTAAAAGTTGCTTCATTACCAGTGTCACCAAGGGCCTTCATGTAGCTAAATCCAGTAGAATCTTTTTAGTCTTTTTCTTCTGTGACCTTTCAACTACATTTGTCGGTATAGAGCACTCCCTCCTTGTAGAAACTCTTTGGCTTTCTCTCTTTCTTTCTGGCTGTTCTTCCCCATCTCCTTCCCTGGCCTCTTCTTCTCCATGGAAAAGCTAAGTCCTGGAAGTCCTAGGATTCTGTCTTAGGACCTTTTCTCATTCCTTGCTCCCTCCCTAAGAACCTCAAAACACACAGATTCTATTACCATCTTTGTTCCAAAGACTTCCAAGTCTTTATCTCTACCTGGGCCACTCAAATGCCCAACTACTTACTTGACATTACCACCTGGTTGCTTTAGGCACGTTCAGTTCAACCTGTCCAATAATGAATTCATGATAGTAAATTCCCACCTGTTCTACTTCCAGTTGTTTATCCCTCTCTTAGTAAATGGCTCTACAATCTAGCTGGTAGCTCAATCCAGATGCCTGGGTGCCATCTTGAGTAATTCCCCGTTCTCATTCACACTGAATCAACAACAATCACAATCACAATTCTCCCTCCAATGTATCTTTCAGTAGCTCTTGCATGGGTTCATTTTTCTCTATCCCCATGGCCGCCACATATTTTAAATCACTGCATTCTTTTTGTGGCCTGTTGGCAATAGTTTCTATCTGTTACTCCTGCTACACCTGCTTCCACTCTTGCCATTGTCCAATCTATTATGCACATTGCAACTAAAGTGATCTTTTGAAAAGCAAAATTCATCCCATGCTTAAAAAAAGGTCAGGGGACCATTCTTTGAGAAATAGGATTCCACACAATGGGCAGCAGATGCTTCGGGTTACTTTGACAAGAGCAGAGATGTCAGGTAGGAGGAGAGCAGTCACTTACATTCATTCCTAATGTAACCTGTCCACGACCACGACCATGCCTCCTCAATACTGGAGACATTACAGTGGTTCATACCCTGGCACTGAAACATATATACTTCTGAATTTACCAAGACCATTAAAACACTTCCTATCCATTAACCTACAGAGAGTAATAAAGATTCAGAGTATTCTACAGGAATATAAATACCCAAGAAGTGATCTTGAATAGTATTTAGCACACCTCCACCATCTATTGTTTGATAGTAAAATAAGGCACTCTTCTCTTCTTTTTTTAAAAATTTTATTTAATTAATTTATTTATTTGAGAGACAGAGAGCATGAGAGGGAGAAGCAGAACCCCCGCCGAGCAGGGAGCCCGATGCGGGACTCGATCCAGGGACTCCAGGATCATGACCTAAGCCGAAGGCAGTCATTTAACCAACTGAGCCACCCAGGCGCCCCAGGCACTCTTCTCTTCTTCAGGGGAGAAGGACATCAACACAAATGAAGTTCTATTGAGTGAAAGACCCAGGAGTTCAACCAGCGGGGCCAGGCAAGTGCCTGGATCTTCTGACTTGGTTTCAGCATAGCTGGTTTTTCAAATCTGAATATTGTAGCTGGCTGGTCTTACTCCTAGTCGTCGCTAGGTTTCCCAGATAGCATTTCCGCAGCCACGCTATTCTGCCCATCGCAGTTTCCTGCATCTGTGAACAGTCCCATGACAGCATGTCCTCAAAGTGTGTGCGTTGCTCCAGGAATGACTCAGTTAATACTCCTGTGACTTTTAGTAGCTCACACAACTGTGTAATGATTGAACCAAGTCCACATTTGGGGTGTTTTACTTCAATGACTGTGAAGTCATGACATGCTCGGAACAGGAAAGGGTCACAGAAGGCATCTGACCTAGTCCTCTCATCTTGCAGATAAGTAAACATTCCCAATGAAAATGGGAAAGCTTTCGAGCTGCATCCTTCAGCATTTCAAATGGACACATTTGGAAGAAAAATTAAGTCACTAAGTACTTGGGAAGAACCGGCCTATTTATGAGATATGAGTTATATGGGGAGGCAAGATCACAAATGGTGAAAATAAAAGTAACAATAAATGATTTAAATAGTAACTTATTTTTTTATTATAATTTTTTTAAGTAATCTCTACCCCCAATAGGAGGCTCGAACTTATGACCAGAAGTAGGCCAGGTAGGCCAGGTGCCCCAACTTAAATAGTAGTTTAAAACCAAATTAGAAGCAATAGAACAAAATAGTTTGTGATTAATTACATACAAATATAAGATCTTTTTTTGTGATTTTGCACGACACCAATAATTATATAAATAGTTTACCATTGGACATCCTTCTATTACCCATATAATGAGCCATCTTTTATCACAGGAGAATGTTTATGCTTCAACTTTAATTCCAAAAAACGTGATTGCTTCCCGTGCTGCCATTATAAGCAAATAATATAGATATATGATGTCTTTTCACTTGGGGAGGAGGTAGAAGTATATTTTATCAGTATATAAGAGTATATGTAAATATGTTCCTATTATGGAAGCCTTCTTTAAGCTAGCAGATGATAATAAAAAGAACAACAGATACTGTTTTAATTGGTTACTATGGGTTACACACAATGCTTAATGCTCATATGTATATGGTTGTGTATGTATGTGTCAATATTATAACAATTCAACCACATATATACATATAAATACATGTGCATTTACATACATATGTGGGTACATAGTTTAATGTTTATGAAAACACTTTTTTCTTATCCCCTTTTCAAAATTTAAGCTCAGAGAGAAACTTGCTCAAAGCCAAACAATCTCTATATAGTCAAGACAGACTTTGAAACCGTGTTGTTTCAGCCTCCTAAAAGTCTTTGCTTCTGACCATCATACAAACATGGTACCAATTTTTTCCATCCTACCATCAGACATATAGGTCGGACTGAGTCTGTTTTGCTTATGCTGCTTGTTTTTTAAATATGTTCGAAGTTTAACATTCTGAATTCCCAAATCCCAGAAAATAACAGGATATGGTAAAAACTGGCAGACTGGATTTTTTTAAGGCACAATATTGGTAACTTAAAGTATCTTATAATATTGAAGATGTCCGTGGAATAGAACAGATGTAAACTTTATTATACTGATTTTATAAATGGAAAACGCAAGCAAATAAAGAGGCCTAACACACATTTACTTCTAGCCGATGCCCTCAAAATTGGAAACATAGGTCGGTTGAAAAATAAGCACACAGAAATTATGGTAGAAGTTTAACTCCAATGATCTGGAGTGGCAACAACAATTAGTAGAGATTATGCAGAAATTTTGGGGAAGCTTGGAGTAAGAGCTATTCTTCTGGGACTCCAGCTAAAAGATCAACCTCTCTTCAAACAATAGCATCGTGGTTAAGAGTTGTGGGCTTCATTTTCTGACATACTATCAGAATCCGTATCAGGGGACGCCTGGGTGGCTCAGTTGGTTGAGCGTCTGCCTGGGATGGAGTCCCACATCGGGCTCCTTGCTAAGCAGGGAGCATGCTTCTCCTTCTCCCTCTGCTGCTCCCCTTGCTTGTACTCATGCTCTTCTCTCTCTGACAAATAAATAAGATATATTTTTTTTAAAAACCCGTATCAGTGGTACCATGTGAAAGAACTGTGGTGTCCTCAGATGTTGACGTCAACAGCAAATTGCCTATAAGAAAGTGTTAGAGCAAGCACATTTTGTGTGTTGTTTGTGTTCCTCTCCCCCTCTTCTTGTTTCTATTTGGTCTTTTGTTTCAACAGCTAGAAAAGTGGGGCAGGGTGGAGAGACAGGTCCATGTGGGAATTAGAGGGCACAGACAAAAGTAGGTGCACGCCCGTGGACCAGGTGGGATGATGACATGGAGTGAGGCAATTCTCCAGATGCCGTCCTAGGTGCACAAACCTTTCTCACAGCTGGTGTCCCACCAGGGCAGGTGGCATGATGGCTGGATGGAGTCACTCTCTGTCCCTTTACAATGAGCAAAAGCTGTTGAAGGAACAGATGCTGTGAATCAGTGGACACTGGATGAAGTTTATTAATTTTATGACTTCAACTGGGATTACTAAAAGGGTAGAATTTCTCCAACCTCAGTACAATATACCAAAACAACATGTCATCACTGGTAATGAGTTTATTAAAAGCACAATATCCAAGATTATAGAAAAGATCATACAAAGAGAATTAACTTAAATCCATAAATCCTTCTTCATGGCCCTGGGCAATTGGATACAGCGTGTTAAGAATTTGCCACGATTTTTTTTTTAAGATTTTATTTATTTATTTGAGAGAGAGAGAATGAGAGACAGAGAGCAAGAGAGGGAAGAGGGTCAGAGGGAGAAGCAGACCCCCCGCCGAGCAGGGAGCCCGACGTGGGACTCAATCCCGGGACTCCAGGATCATGACCTGAGCTGAAGGCAGTTGCTTAACCAACTGAGCCACCCAGGCGCCCCACGATTGTTTTTAATATATGTATATACCTCTAATGAATTGTATTGGCCTATTTTCTTCTTCTAATTGATTCCAATATAAAACTGGCTACCTACCATTCAACATATGAAACCGGCTGCTATTAAAATGCCAACATGTGTATGGTGAACAATTTTGTGATCAGAAACGCATCGACAGTCTGTCAAATTTGAAGCTATTAATTTTGTAATTTACATATGAGTCTAATATAAAACCATTCCACTTAAAGAAAAATAAGCAGCTCTAAGTTTGCCTTATATTTCAGCTTTATGTACAGTTGCTAACCATAATACATAAACTAACAAACTCAGGAGACTTAATGACAATATTGCTTTATTAGATTTGCTTTAGAGAATTATCTGGAATTCTGCTGTCAAATGAGAACGAATAGCCAGAAGGCTGGCCAAAAACTGAAGTTATTAACAGTGATCTGTAGAGTGGCAGTCGTACAAAGGACAAGAGGACTTTAAATGGAATGATGTTTATGTTAAAGTAATATAAAATTCACATCCATCAAAGATTAAGTCGACCCTAAACACAAAACTGTAGCAATAAAAACGAAGCAAAAAAAATTTAAACGGGACCACCATGCCCCTGGCACATAGAAGGCCTAACTCAGAAATAATGGCCTTTTCCACAGGGGAATGGTATCCTCTGTCTAGCAGGTCTCCGTGGTATCGAAGTGAATACAGAAAAATCAGGTGATTCTAGGCCAGCAGTTGCAGAGGTAAGGGGGAAAAAATCACTGTTTTCTTTAAGGCTCTGGAGAATCCTCTTCCAAGGAGAGAGTGGAAAAATCAATGCCAGATGGCTTTCAAGGAGATGCTGCTAATGCTTCTGCTATGCAAGTCCTCTGTGAAAAAAAATTCCCTCACGGTGAATCAATGCAGCAATGCAGCAGTGGAAGCCTCATAGCTCGGGGCACCCCCCACTTCCCTAGTGGAGGACGGCGCCTTCCTCGGTGTCCCCGCTACAGGCTGAGCAAAGATTGTTTCTCACGGTGTCAGTGATTTATGACTTGGTTCAGACAAAGCAGGAGAAAATGTTCCCCTTTTCACTTCTTATTTGTTGTTGAAATGCTGTTTTAACCACTTAAAGAAAATTTATAAATAATATTAGATGCTACTTATAAGGTACTTACTGTGGGCCAGTAAAGTGCGAAGGGCATTACTTTTGTTATTGAAGTTTAACTGACATACGACAATTTATGACACGGGGCTTGAACTCACAATCCTGAGATCAAGACTTGGGCTGAAGAGTCAGACGCTTAACTGACTGAGCCCCAATGACACCTTCTTTATCCATTCATCCATCAGTGGACAGACACTGAGGTTGTTTCCATATCTTGGCCATGGTGAATAATGCTGCAGTGAACACAGACGTGCTTATACCTTTTCGAATAAGTGTTTTCTTTTTCTTCGGATAAATACCCAAAAGTGGAATTGCTGGATCTTATAGTAGCTCTATTTTTAATTTTTTCAGGAACTTCCATCCTGTTTTCCATAGTGGTTGCCCTGGTTTGCATTCCCACCAACAGGGCACAAAGGTTCCTTTTCCTCCACATCCTCACCAACACTTGTTATATCTTGTCCCTTTGATAATAGCCATTCAGACAGGTGTGAGGTGATATTTCATTGTGGGTTTTGATTTGCATGTCCTTGATGACTGATGCTGAGCATTTTTTTGTAATGTTTTTCTTTTTTTAATTTTTTTCTTTCTTCTTTTTTTTTTTTAAGATTTTATTTATTTGAGAGAGAATGAGAGAGAGAGAGCATGAGAGGGAAGAGGGCAGAGGGAGAAGCAGACACCCCGCTGAGCAGGGAGCCCGATGTGGGACTCGATCCCGGGACTCCAGGATCATGACCTGAGCCAAAGGCAGTCGCTTAACCAACTGAGCCACCCAGGTGCCCGATGCTGAGCATTTTTGATGCGTCTGTTGGCCATCTGGATGTCTCCTTTGGAAAAATGTCTATTCAGATCCTCTGCCCATTTTTAAAATTGGATTTGTTTGTTTTCTTGTTATTGGAACTCATTTAGCCTTCACTCTTAGACAGGTATTACTTTCTCCATTTGAACTGAATGAAGTAACTTGCACGAGGCCATGCGGCCTATACGTGCTGGAGCTGGGATGTAGACATACGCTTGTGTGGCCTGGTTTCTAACCGCCACACTATATATTCTGTTTTAAAATACAAAATTGAGAAGAATAATTTCATAAATAATCCCATAGCCCTGGGAAAACAGTTTTCATTTTCTCATAGTCCCTTTCTTTGTGGTTCATGTGAATATTGCCGCAAACGTCTTTTCGGTTTATCGTTGCCCCGCCCACTCTCTCCTTTCGGTTCAGCAAGAGTAACTGCTTTCCTAGATGTGACCTTGTACCCGACACACCTCCCCCAGCCACCAGTCACCGTTTATTAGCTTAAGGGTGGCTACCTGATCCAAGCTGGGCTCGGAAGTTTGTTCCGTAGGAGTTTTGAAATTTGGGTGGAGAGACTTCACAAGCTAGAGGAGGGAGAAATGGCGGGAGGAGAGGAAAGGAGTCCATTTCTCTCTGCGTTAGCTAGAGCATGGAAGCTTCAGAAGCTATGTGTAGTCATGATCTTCCTCGTGGCCTGCAGGAGAGAGAAGAAAGCCTTTGCGCGGTGAGAAAAAGGCAGAGGCCCCCGAGAGAGATGGAGAATGAGGACCCTTGGACTCTGCACAGTGTTTTGGGCTTTGCCTTATTCACTAGACCCTGCGGTGACTCTGTCCTTGGGTTCTGTGAAATGCGTCGATTTTCCGAAAAGGTCTCTCTCTTGCTTAAGACAGTTATAGTCGGCTCTTGTCACTTGCTACACGCGTCTGAACTAGTATTTTATAACAACAACAACAAAATAACAATAAAAGCTCTAAGCATTTCCCCAGTTGTCTGTCTCAGAAACACGTCGATGGGTGTGGAGGGGAGGCAGTGTGAGTGAAGTCCACAGATGCCCCTGCGATCCGCTGTGAGCAAGGACAATCCGACTCTCACACCTGCTGGACGGGGAAGGAGACTTCCCGGCTCCTGCAGCCACAGGCCCAGAGCAAGTGCAGGCCTCTGGGCTGAGTTAATCCGGAGGCAGCAGCACCATTTCCTTCTGCCTTGCCTCCTCCATGCCCATCTTCTTCCTAGGCCAGTAGCGAGACAACTGCCACCTGTGACTTAAGGAGGCCTTCCTACTGTCCCCAGTGCATTTTCATGGCTCTCAGTTCTTGCTACGATTCCTGTGGCCAGGGCGGTGCATGTGCTCAGGGGAGGCCCGAGTTCCTCAACCAACTTCTGGAATGTTGGAGGCAGGATGGAGATTATGAAAATCATGGCTGCTCCCGTAGGGCAGGCGTAGAACAGACGAGGGAGTTTCTTCCACAGTGTCTGCCCAAGGTGCCTGGGGCTCGACTAGCATCCTTAAACGCGCACCTTCTTCTTCCCTGCTGAGAAGCAATGGGTATGAACAACACTGGCTGTAGAGACGAGACTGCCTGGGATTTTTCTGATTTCTGGCTTTCCTCTGAGTCTTCTTCCTGTCTTCAGCAGCAGCTGCCCCTGTCACATTCTTTGCTTAAAGAAAGCCCTGGAGTCTTTGGTCTGCACTGAGGGGCCTTGATATGGCAGATGATCGCCCCTTCTGAGACAGCCAGGGAGGCCAGGGAGGAGCCAGGCGGCTCCTGGAGTCGGTAATCCTTGTGGCCATGTGCAAGCTGAGCCCGCTGTCGAGCTTTATCTGGGGTGATCTGCTTCTTGTGGCAACTTGCTATTTTTCTTGGCCCTGAATTTCTCAGCAGTGGTCCTGGGTCTGGAGATGGTTGGCACACAGTAAGTACTACCCAAGGGGTTGAGAGGCAGAACAGAACTCTCAAAACAGAATGGCTAGGCTTGGATCCCAGCTTGGACACTTACCAGCTGTGTGACCTTGGACAGCCTACTGAACCTCTCTGTGCCCCATTCTCTTCATCCGTAAGACAGGGTTAATGATGGGTCATGAGAATTAAGTGAGTTAATGTATGTGAATCATTTTGAAGAGTGACGGGTACATAGTAAGCCCTAAGTATTTCCTAAGATTCTCATTATCATTTATTATCGGAGGTTGAATTCCCAGGAAGTAGACTCTGAGATAGGAATTTAGGTACAGTCAGGTTATGGGGCAGTACTTTGAAGTCAACCACTGTGAGTGAGATTGGGATTGGGCAGAGGGAGGAGTTGAGCTGTGATGCAGTTGTAACAGAGCCCAAAGGGAGAGGTGGGCAGGGCATTGTCCTTCCTTGAAGACTTTGTGCCGCCCCTCACTCCACCTCCCTACCCCCTGTGAAGAATGTTGGCTGCAGGCTTCCCCTGAGGACAGGTGTGACACGGAGGCAGGACAATTTCTAGGGTGAGACCTGGCTGTAAGCCACTAGAAGTCATCGCTCCTGGTATGAGTGCTTCGGTCATGGAGGGGAGATCTGTGCAGTGCACTGAAGCATCCCCCACGTATGTCTTCCTACGGGACCCACTTAAGAGA